ATTTAAATTATTGGATGCAAATTACTGGTACTTTATCATACCAGGAAGCAGATTTTTCATCTCTATCAAAATATTTATTTTATACCGACAGGCTTAAAAGTTTAACCAAATCCAGTCCTTTCAAAAGCGCCTCTCACAACTTCTAAATAAACTTCTTATCACAGGCAAGGATGAAGAGATGCTGAGTTGGGAAGTAGAGAACAAACCAATTTTGTATTTTTATCGCTACAATTATTACAAAGACCCACAAGGAAAATAAAATGTTTGGACAAAAACGTGTGCAATTGATGCTGATTGTGAGATTTAATTATTTCATATTAAATTAAAAGTTCATTACTGCATGTTTTTGTCCTATGAATTAAATAATATAGCGCATGCTCTCGAGCTCCAAGGACGTTTGAGCGGAGCAAGTCAGGAGGAACAGCGGAGGATGTAGGCTTTGCTTTGCGCTGGCGGTCTGGAACGGAGCAGGCGGAGCGGAAGATGTCGGATCTGGGGGACATCCGTGGAGTACTTTCTTGTGATTGGTTTATACAAGGGAGCTCTGCTTAAAAAAATGCATTTATGTATTGAGGCATGTCAATGCAGTCTCAAAAACCACACACAAATGCATTGTAGCTTAAAGACCACTGGTATTTTTTCATTTAATTTATAATTGTTTATGGACCAGAAATACTTTGGTGAATCTTGTTCTGTGCATGTATGGATCTTGTACTGTGGCTGTGGATTTTTTTTTTGTGTGTTTCAATGAATCATTCTGTGCATGTTTGAATCTTGTTGTGTGCCTGTATGAATCACATATGTATATTTGTGAAAATTGAGACCGATCTGGATTTCAGAACAAGTACCTCCCAGATCCAACTCTCTTACCCTTTTATCCCTCAACCCTTCCTCACCTCATCCCTTCCCCCTACATCCGTTATCCTTTCATCCCTTCATCCCCTCATCCCCTCATCCTTCATCCCCTCATCCCTTCCTCGCTTCATCCCTAATCTCTTCCTTCCTTCATCGTTCATCCCTTCGTCCAATACCCCTTCATCCTCTCTCCCTTTCAACCTTTGATCCCTCATCCCTTCATGCTTCCATACCCTCATCCCTTTATTCCAGATTTTTTCATCCCTTCATCCTCCATTCAATCAATAAACCTTTAAACTGATATTAAGTTTTGGTGTGGTCCTTGCTAGGGAAAGGGAGTTAATAGGCTAACTTAAGTTCGGGAGCAGGCCCACATCCAAACCACCTTTCCAATTATTTAGTACTCTATTTATACTCCACTCACCCCTTCCTCTAAGTCTGTTATGATTCGTCAACCCCTCATTCCCTCCACCATTTTCCCTTTTTTCTCTCTGTTAATCTCATTACCTCATCTTGTTCTTCTCTGTTGCATGGTCCATCTAGGGGGTTCAATGCGAGCTCAGAGAAATGAACCAGAACCAAATTCTCTGGGAGATCATACTCCCACACAGACATCTTCACACATTCTGTTTACTCCTCAGATGATGCCGACCCCCATACTCCCACCCGTTCATCCCTTTATTCTTTCCTCCCTTCATCCCTTCTTCCCTTCCTCCTCTCATCCCTTCATCCCTCATTCCTTCATCCCTTCATTTCCTCATCCCTTTATGCCTTTCTCCCCTCATCCCTCAACCCTTCATCCCTTCCTCCCCGTATCCCTCAACCCTTAATCCCTAATTCCTTCATCCCTCATCCCTTCATCCCCTAATCCACTCCTTCCTTCATCCCCTCTTCCCTTTCTCCCTTCATCTCCTCACCCCTTCATCCCCTCTTACTTTCATCCCTTGAACCCTCATTGCTTCATCATTTCATACATTCATCCCTAAATACCTCATTCTTTCACCCCTTCATACTCCATTCAGTCAAACCTTTAAACTCATATTAAGTTTAGGAGTGGTCCTTGCTACTGAATTTTCTTTTGATGAATATAGATCTATGAATTATTTCTAAGTAACACATTAAATAGAAGTTTGCATTTTAAAGTAAAGACAATTAAATGGCAATTTGCAGCACATTCTACATAAAAACCAAGGTAATATTTACCGGAACAAATGGTGCATTTTTTTCTGCATGGGGTATGACTGTAATGACAATGTTTTTTCTTTTGCTTTTTACTTGAGGGCCTTTTGTGTCTCAAACAGGAACCTCAACTCAGGCATATCACTGAGAGAGCACAGCTGTGTGGGTCTGATCAAACTTAGAAATTATATTAATATCTCATTCGTAATTGTTGAATGATTTACATCATTTGATTTTTTTTTTTACAAGAAGTTCATAAACTGCTAAACATTTTTTTTTTACCCAAGTTTACATTTAAATTATTCTGACAACAAAAAATAGCAGAAAAAGCCTCCTGTTGGTATTAATTTACTGCCATGGAAGCATAACTTCCCTTTTTCATTTCCTTATTTTCTGTCTTTTTATGCAGAGGTGTGGTTTTCAGTGTCTTTTATAAAAAGCAATAGAGTTCTTTGTCCCACCAGCCACCCACCCACAATTTTTGGGAAGAGTTTGTGTTTTGGAAAACACCTTTTAGGCACTCATATCTGGAGGTAAGTCGCTATTGATTTTAAAAGTCATGGTAAATTTTTTTAAGCACTTTCTACAATGTTGACCAACTGCTCATTAAAGAATACAAAAAAGTTAAATAGATATTCATTTAGATTCTAGATGAAACGATTAATATTTAAATTCAATAATATAATTTTCCCCATAAAATTTTTATTTATCTTTTAATATTCTTAAATTAAACATTCTGTTTTTTTCTGTACTGCTTTACTGAAATTTGTACTATTGTGTTGTCATGACAGCTGTTGAAAGTACATGTAGACTTGTGTCTTATGTTACCATTATTATGTTTTTATGTTCATTTCTTATGCTTGAATGACTTTGTCTTCCTCAAAACCACAAGGTTTGGGTACACCCAAACAACTTTACACACATCTTCTTTTTATGTATTTCAGCTTCATATGAAATGCAAGAAAGGTTCTGGTAGAACTCTGTTATTTCAAAGAAGAAAAAAAAGCTACAACCAACATATAACTTCCAAGTTTTGGGTCTTAACCTTTAAACACGATTGGTATTTATTTTACTAATTTATTTTACAAAATTTCAAAGAAACTCTAGCTCTGATTTGAGACCTCATCCTACTGGCAACTTGACCACATGGCAACAACTGATACCTTCATAAAATTTACAAACTGCCCTGAAATTCTTACATTTTTGGAATTTCTTGCACATCTCTAAAACAGTGGTGTCCAAAATTAGTCCTAAGGGCTGCTATCTGCTATGTTGAAATTGCATTTTAAGAAAGAAAAACAGCAACAGCAGATTACAAAGTTAACCTGAGCAAAAGTAACTAGCAGCTTCTTGGCAATGTAGTGGAGTAGAAAGTACAATATCTGACTTTAAAATGAAGTGGAGTGAAAGTTTAAAAGTACCCCTACAACAAATTACTCAAATAATGTACAGCAATCAAGTAAATGTACTTTACAAATGACAGCAACTTTTAAACAGAGCGAGCATGAGGAAAAATTTGCTAAAGCATGCTCTTTTTAGTAGGCATTCCCTCTCCAGAGCAGGTACAGGGTTGTGCATATGCAATTTTTTTTGCACAAGTGGAGAGCGTGGGTCTTTTTTTGCGAAGATCCACCATTATACCTTTAAGTTGTGATTTATTAAGCATTTAATCAGCAACTGTGGAAATTCCAAACTTGACATGCACATGCAGAACTCTGTACATGCATAGAGTCACACTCCTAAACAAAATCTTAAGAAAGTACAAAAAGGTACTGTAATACCTTCTGAACTACAAGTTTTCTTTATATAATAATACATTTAAGAGTTGGATGAATATGTTTAATAAAACATCAGTGTCCTTTAAAAAAAGTTCAGCACAAGTTCTTATTCAGCACATCAAAAACCACTATAGATGCATAAATAAATAATCCAAAGGGAAGAAGAAGATGTGCTGGCCCAAATTGTTTACCAATCTAGGCTTCCAGAACAATGAAACTGCCCGGTTTGTAAAAGCCCTGCTATCCAACATGCACACACCAGACGCATCAGTTCATAGAGCAGCGCAATGCTCCGTCTATACTTTATTTTCCTGCTAAATTCAAGTACACAATGAAGCAAAATCATACTCAGGAGTCAGTCTGCACATTCTCAGATATGGTGGCTGTAGCACTTAGATGTGAGAAACTAAAAGAGATCTAACAGCTGGTGGATATTTGTGCTACATTTAAAGCATCTACTGCTGATTGTGAAAGAAGTTCTAGTGTAATGAATCAAATTAAAAAAGCATCCAGAAAACTCTTAAAACTGAATATTTTGAGAATTAATTGATAAGTGAAAAGCACAGATGTAAAAAATAGATGCAATTTAAGAAAAATGTATTCTAGTAAAATTTATTTCTTTATGTATGGATATCAATCACAAAATGCTTATAATATTTTAAAATATGAGTAACAGGAATTTTCACTGCATCAGAAGCTTTAGCACAGAATTCATTGTACGATATGTGAATGTTTTAAAGTGAACAAAAAGTTAGGTATGAAAGATGTAACATCTTGGAGAGTTTGAACATTCAAATTCAGTGATTTTCATGACACAGAAGTACAATGTTATCAGAATATTGCTGAAGGGGCATAATACTTCAAGTGAATTTGTCTTTGGGCCCCTAAATTCTTTGAAACGGCCCTGCTTTCTCTTGTGGCATTGAAGTAGAGACTGTGCACTTTTTAGAATTGCTAATTTAAACATTTCGTTTGAGCTTGGTAAACTGCTTCTTAGGACTCTGCCCATCAGTAATTGTGCAGGAGAAAAATCCAATCCCATGATGGGTGTGTTTTTTAGAGCCAGTAGAGCAAGAAAAGGATCAGGGTTAATTTGCATATGCTTTTTTAAAAAGTGTTTTTTAAACCTTTTTTTTTATCATTAATTTACTAATATTCTTCCTTTCTTACAGATACCCTCATGTCAAGATGATTAGCCACTTCGTCGTGCACTTCTGTATTTTGGGTACTTTTATATTTTAATATTCTATAGTGTGACATTATATGCCATCTGCATTGGAAATAGGTAATGCATTTTTACTTCAGAGTTTTTATTTCTTGCAGGTTCTCTTTACGGCATATCCCAGGCCTGGGATGTTAAAATGCCAAAACATATCAAGGGATTGTTGGGCTCCTGCCTCACCATCCCTTGCAGCTTTGACTATTATTGGAATCCACCTAGAAGACCCGATCGAGTGGTTTGGTACCAGTATGTAAGCAGGGGATATCCTTTGGTCTATGACAAATGGTACCCAAATGATGTCATACCCTTATATAAAGGAAGAACCAGCGTATTAGGATATCGGAAATCTTGCAGCCTTAAGATTGAAACTGTGAAATGGAATGACCACAGACAGAAGCTTTATCCTTGGGTGGATCCAGAAAATGTTGGCAGAAGCACATATGCATTCTATGAGACAACTGTGACGATTGAAGTAATTGGTATGCTCTCAGTTAAAACCTTGAACACAATTACATAATAAGTTGTAAGATATATTTTCAAGTCTCTACATTTCTTCCATAGACTCACCAAAGGCACCAGAGATTACGATCACCGGTGAAAGAAAAGCTGGAAATACTGTAACTGTAAAATGTTCTGCTGAACACACATGCTTCACCAATCGCCCGAATCTTTACTTGAACATCCCACTGAGAAATGAATATTTAACTCACAATGCGATGTCTGATGGCACTATTATAACCTCTTTAACAACAGATTTAGTCTTAGATAGAGACTACCAAGTTGTGGAGTGCACTGTCTGGCACCCAGGTGGTAAAAGAGCAGAAACTTCTGAAACCCTTTATGCAGAATGTTAGTGATAACTCTTAATATCTAAATCATCAACCAAATGTCTGTAAATGTGTTTCAGTCATGATTCTCCTCTTTTTATTTCAGGTTCTTTTTCATCATTGACTATCAGGTCCTCATCAAGTGAATATCTTGAAGGAGTTGCAAGCACGGTAACGTGTTCTGTTTCATACACTTGCTCTAACAATAAACCGACGTTTACTTGGAACTATGCTAACATGCCAGCTACCAGCAATACTTACAAAGATGGTACTTGGTGGAAAACTACTTCTACACTGACATTCACACCATCAGCCAAAGACCATGGAAATCATCTGAGATGTTCTGCACATTTTCCTGGTCGATCAACCCAGGATAGGAGTATCCCCATATTGGTAAAAAGTAGGCACCAATCACTATTTGTATTTAAAATATTAAAGTATTTAGATTTTTATTATAACTAGTCTCTAGAAAATATTTCCCAAATTTAAAATGTGTAGAATGTAATGTTTTTATTTTTTTTATTATTGTGATATGTCATGAATGTGTGATCCTGATATAACCTTACATTTTCCCTCCTTTAAAGCAAGCATTGTATGGTAGAGAAAATTTAAATACATAATTTTTTCTTAAAAAATTTTTTTTCTTTCTTGTTTTTTCTAAAACAATTTAAGGATTGTCATTAAGACGTTCTTTAGCTGAGAAACCTGCGTCAAACACAGCACTGCAATTTTATATATAATTTGACAGAAATATCCTCCACTATAGCATTTTATCCCACATACATCAGGTAAAATAATTATTAAGCACACCACCATTTCTCTCAGTAAATATATTACTAGAGGTGCTATTGACATGTCAGATGTTCATATCAATCCATGCAGTCCACACATACAAAGAAATCAAACCATAGATTTCCAGAAATTAGGTGAGTTGTAATAATGTGGAATGGAACAGGGAAAAAGTATTGAACATGTAAAGGAAGGGAGGGGCAAAAAGACATGGAAAGCCAAGACACCAGCCGTAATTAACTAATATCAGCTGGTTCAGTCTCAAAGGATCACATATAAAAAGGTGTCTCTGTTATCACACAAGAAACATCTCATGATGGTTAAAGTAAAGAGCTTTCTCAAGACTATCGCAACCTTAGTGTTGCAAATCATAATGATGGCATTAGTTACAGAAGGATTTCTAAACTTCTGAATGTTCCAGTGAGCATTGTTGGGACCATACTGTAATCCGGAAGTGGAAAGTACATCATTCCACCATAAACAACCATGACCAGGTGCTCCTGGCAAGATTTCTGAAAGAGGAGGGAAAATAATTATCAGAAGAGTTGTCCAAGAGCCAGAGCCCACTTCTCGAAAGCTTCAGAAAGACCTGAAATTAGCAGGTATAATTGTTTCAAAGAAAAAAAAATAAGTAATGCACTCAACTACCACGGCCTGCATGCATGCTCACCACAGAAGACTCCATTGGTGAAGAAAAAGCATGTTGAAGCTCGTTTGAAGATTGCTTCACAACATTTGAAAAAGCCTGTAAAATAGTGGGAGAATATAGTCTGATCAGATGAAGCCAAATTTAACTTTTTGGATGCCATAATACCAATCCTGTTTGGGGGTCAAATGGAACTGCACTTCACCCAAAAAACATCAGACCAACAGTGAAGTTTGGAGGTTGGAACATTTTGGTGTGGGGCTGTTTTTCAGCATATGGGTCTGGTAAACTTTAAATAATTGAAGTAAGGATTAATAGAAAAATGTACAGAGACATTCTTGATAAACATCTGCTGCCATCTAAGAGGATGATGAAGATGAAACATAGGTAGACATTTCGGAAAGAATATGATCCCAAACAGACAGCCAAGGAAACTCTCAATTGGCCTTTGTGAAAGAAAACAAAGCTGCAAGAATGGCCCAATCACCTGACTTGAATCCAATATGAAATCTATGGAAATAACTAAAGATCAGTTCATAGAAAAAGCCAATGAAACCTTCAAGATTTGAAGACTGTTGGTGTGGAAGAATGGACTGAAGTCACACCTAAGCAACGCATGTGACTAATTTCTCCACGCAGAAGGTGTCTTGAAGCTGTCATTGCCAACAAAAGCTTTTGTACAAAGTATAAAATACATTCCAGTAAGTGTGTTCAGAACACTTTCCCTGATTTCACCTTAGTAAACATAACTCAAGCTCTGGACATTTATGGTTTGATTTCTTTGCATGTGTGAATTGCATGGATTGTTACCCGCATGTGGTGAAAATAGGTCAATAACGCCTCTAGAAATATATGTACTGAGAGAAATGGTGGCATGTTCAATACTTATTTATCCCGTTGTATATGACCATTTTTGGATTGATTTATTTCATATTTTTTATTACATAAAAAAACAGGCAACGTGATCCAAAGTCTGCACATGCAGTTTTTTATTTCTGAACTTGACAGGATCTACTTGTCTCTTCATCAACTTTTTTTTCACCAACTTTGTTTCTGGCTGAACAATCAAGCACCTAAAATAAAACAGCTTCCGGCACCTCTAGAATGCACCGCAATGTATTCAATGGAATCACTCTGATTGTCTAGAATTGCAAGAATTACCCATGGCGAGTCAAGATTTAAGAGTCAATATAGCTAATTGCAAACAACAGCCTTTTAATTTAGCAGCCACAAGGGCACAAAGAAAGACAAGACACCCTAGTAGCAACATAAAGTTGAGAATATAGATGTAGGCTTACAGTTTTCTCCTTAGCATATCTGTTACTATTTATTGATAATGCTAATTCTAATATGTAACAAAAATTGTTACCCTTTGGATTTTGCTTTTTTCAGGGAACATGCTCAATCTAGGATGGTCTGTCACTACTCCAAGAAGCTTGACAGGATTAAAAGGGTCATGTATCACCATTCCTTGCAAGTTTACCTACAGTAATTCCCAGCCAGGTGGCCTCCAAGTTTTATGGTACTTGTACCAGAGTAATGGCTATCCAACTGTATTCAACCAAAAAGGAGGAAATATTTTGAACAGATATGATGGGAAAACAAGTTTAACAGGCTCTGTGACAGACAGGAATTGTAGCCTTAAAATAGAAAGGTTGGAGATGTACCACAATCAGGATCGACTTTACCCATGGATCGATGAGCACCCAATTACTTCCTACCATTCACAGGGACACTCATTTTTGGATAAAAGCACTGAGATTATGGTTTCCGGTACGTATATACATATGTAATTAGATATATAATTGTCAAAAAAGAAAATAATCATTTATGCTAAATTCTGTGCCATTTTTCCCTTTCCTCTTTTTCTGGGATCTACCTACGTGTCATAATCGATTAACTTAAAATCTTTCTTTGACCTTATAGACCATGCACAAGCTCCACAACTGAGCATAATTGATCTCCCTAGGGTGGGGGAAAAAAGCAGAGTTGCCTGTATAGTGCAGCATACATGTTTTGCTGCACCCCCTGCCCTGTCTCTGGATGGGATACCTGGGACAGACCACATTTTCGACACCCCAGTGTCAGAAGGGATTTGGGAAAGAAAAATTGAAAGAACATGGACTGTTCAGGAAGACCACAGCAGGGTGGAGTGCACTGTGAGATATGCTGGTGGACAGAGTGCCAAAAGCGAGCTTCAAATACATGTTGAATGTAAGTATAAATATAGATGTTAGTATTTAAATTCTGTTACTTTAAATATTACTTAGAAGGTAAAATAAAATAAAATAAAAACTCTCAATTTGCTTTGTTAAATGTCCTAATGAAGAAATCAAAATGAATGAATTACCAGGAGAGTTGACAGAGGGTGTGGAAAAGAGTGTGATTTGTTCTGTGTCCTACAAGTGCAAAAAAAGTAGACCGACAATTGAATGGAACTATTCAGACATGCAGAGTGAAGTAACAAACTACCAACAAGCTAGTTATAACTACATCACTGAGTCCAATCTAACATTTATTGGATCTCGGGAAGACAACAGAAAACCTTTGACTTGTACTACACAGTTTGCCACTGGAGAAACGTCATACTCCACAGATCTCAGTGTAAAAAGTGAGTCTTAACACATAGCACACAGTGTTCACTAATGTAATCAATTCAATTTATTCAGTTAAATCCAAGAGTCAACTAATATTGAATCATTTTCATTTAAATTTTAGTTTCATTTAATTGTTTTTTTTGGGAATTTTTAATTAAAAATTATTTTCTTCACCATTGTCATCAATGCTAAAAAGAAAAATCAGCTCCAACTTAAATTTATTTCTTCAATAATTTATAAATAACTGAATTTCGTGTGACTTAATTTATTTTTAACCTTATAGACTCAATAAATTGATTTGGATCAACTGTATTGCATTACTTTACTTTAACAATTAAGCTAACTCTGTATTTTCTTTTGTATTTTCTTTTATGAAGAACTGTAGAGAACTATTTTTTTTAAATACAGTATCCTTCAGTTTTAACAGCTCTTGGAACTGTTCTATATAACATCTGAAAATTACAAGTTGCTAGGTACAACTGCTGAAAAAAAAAAGAGAAAGAAAGATCTTGGGGTCTGTTTCACAAAGCAGGTTTACTGAAAACTCTTTTTTAAACCTGAAATTAGAGAAACTCTGAATTTTCCATTTCACAGAGAGAGTTAACTTAACCTCTGTTTCTGTTGCTGTGATGCTGCAACATTCTCCCCATAGCTAACCTGGTTAGGAGCAGGTTTTGTTCATTTAAATCTGTTTATCCTCTATCTCCACTTTCCTTACAGCCAATTATATTGTTTTACTTCCTGGTTCAGTCAGCCTTTTGTCGTAGTAAAAAAACAAAATAATAATCACTACGTCTATTAGACACATTATGTTTTAAAAACAGATATTACTTGTCAAAAGCTGTCATTACTCAGAACAGAGGACCCAATATTTGAGACAAGACAGTTCAGGCAGACTGTTCAGATGGGAACAGGAAGGCTCAGGGGTTGAGAGGAAGAACAGGTCAGGATCAGGTAATCCGAAACACTAACGTACGAAAAAATCCTCTCACCACTACGATCAGATGGGAACAGGCAGGCTCAGTGGTTGCAAGGCAGAACAGGTCAGGATCAGGAAAACAGAACACCAAGGTACGGCAAAAACCCTCCTAACACTAGAATGAGAGAACGAGTATAATCTGGTGGTGATGACTGGATGCAAGCTCCTTAAATAGAGGCAGAAATAGGTGGATCAGATGACCAGTGATTAGAAACCGGGCAGACCTAGACAGGTGAATTAAATGACCCAATAATCCAGTCATCAATGTCCAGATCATGACAGAAGAGGTTGCAGGTTGCAGCCACTTAGTATTTACTGTGTAAATGACAGAATCAATATGAGGAGGGACCCCACAACATAATACACTGGTCCTATCTATTAGAATGTTTCTAGACTTAATATTTAACTGTTGCCAGGTGATTTGACCTAAATAGATACTTTGATCCACTACCATTCAAGAAATAAACCCATAATGTTATTGTGGTCACAGGCTGTATTGATATGTAATTTTTTTACTAAATATATATTCCTTATATCTGACAAAAACCTTTTCCTTGTCAAAATTACATACTTCACATCTAGAATAAAGATCCTGGATGTCTAGAAATGAATTTCAGATCTCTATATTCCTGTTGTTACTAGTGAGTATCTTTATTATTTTTATTATGAAGAAATGTATCTCAGAAATCATAAATACATATTCAGTCAAGCTGATAAATGTCAAAATGGCCACTTAAAATATGTAAACATTTCTAGATATTTAAAAAAAATTTTCATACTACTATAATTCCATTTTTTATTTTCTAAAATTTAGTTTCTGCTCCAAAAACATAATTGAGAAAATAAATTATTACAGTTTAGTCTAGGTGTGGGATTTTAATCAGGAAGAAACTTATTTTAGTGATCTACAAATTAAACAACAGAGAGGAGAGTCTAGGAGTGGGATTTTAATCAGGAAGAAACTTATTTTAGTGATCTACAAATTAAACAACAGAGAGGAGAGTCTAGGAGTGGGATTTTAATCAGGAAGAAACTTA